AGCGGCTAAGTGTCGCCTCTCTCACAATTTAAACACTTGAATGTTTTCAGTAGTATTAACTGTTGTCTGTGGTCTTGCAACAGTTAGGCCCCTTTCACACGGGCTGATCAGGAGAGGATCCATGCACAGATCTGCTCCTGATCACAGCAGTATGGAGTGGATGTCACATCGTGTTTGTACAGTTTTTTTCCTCTATCTTACGCAGGAGGAAAAAATTGCAATGACTGAACTCATGTATGTCTATGGGCAATCGGATGTAAACGGACATGTGTGCGTTTACATCAGATTACTCCAATCCGGCACTATCAGGTTCATCGAAACAGATCATTGATCCATTTTTTTTTTTCCAGACCTGACCGGAGGTGGGGGACACTGGTCCATTTACACACAACTGCCCATAGACTCGCATTATCCGGTTACGCCTGTCAAGTTTTTTAGGCGGACCCGATCGGATGCCCAATGTAACTCGTGGACGTTTTTCAGTTTGCATCTGATTACCTCCGAGTTCATCTAGGTCCAAAAAATAAAATAACGGAAAAGAGTTCAGTTTTGGCGGACCCAGACGTAATGGATTGAAGGTAATTGGATGAATTGACGCCGGCCCGCTTACACCTAATATACACTATGTTGCCAAAAGTATTGGGACGCCTGCCTTTACACACACATGAACTTTAATGGCATCCCAGTCTTAGTCCGTAGGGTTTAATATTGAGTTGGCCCATCCTTTTGGAGCTATGACAGCTTCAACTCTTCTGGGAAGGCTGTCCACAAGGTTTAGGAGTGTGTCTATGGGAATGTTTGACCATTCTTCCAGAAGCGCATTTGTGAGGTCCGGTACTGATGTTGGACGAGAAGGCCTGGCTCGCAGTCTCCGCTCCAATTCATCCCAAAGGTGTTCTATCGGGTTGAGGTCAGGTGCCGGCCAGTCAAGTTCCTCCACCCCAAACTCGCTCATCCATGTCTTTATGGACCTTGCTTTGTGCACTGGTGCGCATTCATGTTGGAACAGGAAGGGGCCATCCCCAAACTGTTCCCACAAAGTTGGGAGCATGAAATTGACCAAAATGTCTTGGTATGCTGACGCCTTAAGAGTTCCCTTCACTTGAATTAAGAGGCCAAGCCCAACCTCTGAAAAACAACCCCACACCATAATCCCCCCTGCACCAACCTTCACACTTAGCACAATGCAGTCAGATAAGTACCGTTCTCCTGGCAAACGCCAAACCCAGAAAAGTCCATTGGATTGCCAGACAGAGAAGCGTGATTCGTCACTCCAAAGAACACTTCTCTAGAGTCCAGTGGCGGCGTGCTTTACAGCACTGCATCCGACGCTTTGCATTGCACTTGGTGATGTATGCTTGGATGCAGCTGCCCGACCATGGAAGCCAATTCCATGAAGCTCTCTACGCTCTGTTGTGCCAATCTAAAGGCCACACAATGTTTGGAGGTCTGTAGCTGTTCACTCTGCAGACAGTTGGCGACTTCTGCGCACTGTGCGCTTCAGCATGCGCTGACCTCTGTCATTTTTCGTGTCCTACCACTTCGTGGCTGAGTTGCTGTTATTCCCAGTTGCTTCCACTTTGTTATAATACCACTAACGGATGACCGTGGAATATTTAGTAGCAAGGAAATTACACGAATGGATTTATTGCACAGGTGGCAACGTATCACGGTTCCCACCTTGAATTCACTGAACTCTTGAGAGCGACCCATTCTTTCACAAATGTTTGTAGAAGCAGTCTGCATGTCTGATTTGGAACACCTGAATCTAATGATTTCGAGGGGGTGTGCCACTACTTTTGGCAATATAGTGTATATCTATCCAAAGAAGGTATGGAGGTATTGACAATAAAGATGTACTGAGCTCCATCAAAATGTCAGCAATGAAAAACGCTGTTGCCTTTCACCTATTTCCACTGCGAATGTCTACATTGGATTTGTATGGATATTTCTGAGTGGATGAGCAACACAGCATTTACCTTGCAATGGCTATCCTTGGGACTCTCTCTCTCTCTCTCTCTCTCTTTCACTCTCTCTCTCCTAAATATATAATTTCTTTTTTTTTTTATAGAAACGGGTCTCATTTAGTAACCCACTATATCTTTATTACCAGTGTGGTGATATTGGTGCTGTGCTATACAACAACTCATATTCTCTACAGCTTTAATTAGAGGAATGTATGTTAGCAAGATGCCCAGGCACTGAGCCCGGCTCCACACTGAGATGCCGCAGCAGTATGTTTTGGACCAATTCCTTTCCAAACAAAACATTTCTGATTTTCAGCAGAAAGTTCCTGTTTCAACTCAAAACAATATTCCTGAATTACAGGTGGCATATGTAATATTGAGATGATTGGTAATGTTTTCATTGCCAAACAGCATATTTTTCCTTTAGGCTAGTAACAGCTCCTGTTCAATGTTCACCTCCTGAGGTCTGTCTTTAGGCTTTGCGATTGCTGAGATCCCTGTCCGGCTACAGATGTGAAGTCAGCTCAATAGGTTTGGCTAGAGTCACAACATGTAGAATCCCATTCTTTGTAAGGCCTCGGTCACACTATTCGATTTGGCATCTCTGTGGCAGGAATTGCCTGTTTAGACCACTGTCACCCATTCAAGTTAATGACCTGGTGACAGCCGCCTGTAAGCGTCAGTCTGCATGTAATCATATGTGATATGATTACATGCGATTTGCAATAGATCATTGGACGAAGGATAGATGCATTCAAGACCAGTGATCTATTCCAAATGCCGTATGGATGTGCACGCCCGTGTGAATGAGCCCTAAAATGTTAATTCCCTGATTCTCCACATGGCCCTTCATATGTGTTATCACAAATTGCAGGGCAAATACCTTTTTTTACGGTCTTTACCTATGCAGTCATGTGACCAGAAAGTGTCAACGCCTCTATGTAATGTGAAGGGCCGAAAATGGGGACGAGTTCTACAGTTCAGGGACATCTCCTCGGCATCCACTTCTCTAGGTGGTGTCGGTTGGGAAGAGAGTCTCCTCCCAGCAGCCGCACCAGAAGAAATTGCAGCTTAGCGGTCACGTGGCTGCATAGAATAATATTTTAAAAAAGGTATTTACACTGCGATTTCCAATCAAACGTATTCAGAGCCAAGGAGAGAAATGGGGAGGGAATATTTAAATGTCGAATTGTAACTTAAAAGAGAACCTTTTTATCCCATAGTTCTCTTTAGGGTCACGGGAGGAAATATACTAACCTCCTTCTGTAACCCAAAGCTCCGCATATAGCGGGCCTTTGCCCAGTATATGCTGAGAGCGCTGCAGCCGGGACGGATTCTGACAATGCTGTCGAGATCCACCCAGCTGTGTAAATGGCAGCAGGCTCTGCCTATCTAGATGCAGAGCCAGCTGTGCCCGCCCTCTCCGCCAATCGTTCCTCCACTCAGTGCTGGAGGATCGGAGAGGGGAGGGGGGATTCCTGCGGGGTGCGGTGCCTGACAGTCACCGCTCTTTGCAGGGAGATGATCAGGAAGGGAGCAAGCGACGGTATGTGTTTGCTCCCTTCCCGATAAATAGAGCCGACGTGTGACAGTTTCAATGTCACAGCTCTATCTATGAGGATGAGTGGAAATCACCCGCCTCATAGTTCTCCTTTAAACCAAAGCAAATTGAATGTATTTCATCTATAATTTCAACCAATAATTTTTTATAGTTTTGGATAGCGTGGGGAAGGCTTAGAAGCTCTATTTATTGATGTCCGTGTCTCCACAGGGTGGGTTTCCGCTCATTTCCTGTTGTAAGGAGCACACAGGAAGTGGGGTATAATTCATTCAATAGCAACGCAGACAGCAATAAAAAAAGGGACTTAAAAGTGAGATTTTTAAATTTCCTCAGTCCTTCAAAGAATGAATATTTATTTTGTCTTTGTTCCTAATGGAGATATTTCTCTCACTTTCTGTCTGTGACCGCACAGGAAATGAGGAAAAATCTCCCCAACATGGATACAGTGCAGCACAAATTTGACATTTATACCTCCTGAGAATTTCAGTATACAAGAAAGATCAAAACATTTAGTCTTGAAAATTTGACTTTTCATTAGCCAGTAGATCTTTTCTTTAACTTCCAATATCTTTGAGGTGTGTAGAAGAGAGAAAATTGTATTGTTTGGCGACTCTCGCTGTCTTAAAGCTGAACTCTGGGGAAAACAAATATATAATTGGTTCTTGGTGTGCGGTGAAACGTTTCCTCTGCTTAGACATTGTAGTAGGCTGGGTATGAACAGTTCTATTTCTATGTTCTATGAAAAATAAAATAGAACAGATTCCTCCATCAATGATTACGAGGAATCCCCCGCTGTTTTCTTTGTATTCTGACAGCAGCCAGTAGCCGCTTTCGGAATACCCGAATGGAGCTAGCAGCTCATTGGCTGCTAGCTCAGTTTGGCTGAGAATTTTCAAACCGGCTCTTTGATCAGCTGATTGTGAGATGCTGGGTGAAAGGGTGCCGACAGCAGCACCCACACAGCTAATGAAAGTTAATGTTTTAAATGTGCGTTAATATTTTTAAAAATTCTGTTTTCATGTATAGTATGTAAATATAATTTAGAGATAGCCATAGACAGTATTTCTCATTATATATACAGCTCTGGGGGCGTGGCCGAGATGTGAGACTGAACGGACGTGCTTAACTGCAGCTAATATACAGCTCTACTTCATGCTTTATAAAAGTTTGTGCAGGAACTTCATGTAATAAAGACCAGTCACTGCTACTGTCTCTCTTTGTGCAGGGTGACTGGTCTTGTATCTCCTGTAGTTTTCTGTAGGCAGTATGTAGTGCAGTGATGACAAACGATGATGATGTCACTGCTGCTTTAACAATCCATTAACTAGGTTTGCAAGGGTATTTGGTGCCTTGAAAAGGTGGTGGATTTATATTCGTTTGTAGCTTTTGAGTGGTACTTTTGATGCCTGCAGTTCAGCTTTAAACAGTAGCTGTTTCATATGTTTGTACTAATTAAGCTCTTTCTTTGCCAGGCAGTGAAATTGGCAGCTTTGCCTGCCAGTCTGGGTTTTGCTGCTTTTCATGTGCACGCAGAAAGTGAAACAAAGACTTCGCCCAAAAGAGTCGTGAAACTGGAAGAGGTAAAAATGACGTTCTTTTTATGAAAATACAATATTGTTGCACTGTCAGTTGCTTGTTTTAGAGCTTGTGTACGTGGACATTTGCTTAATTGTCAGTCCGTGGGAATGCAAAAACATCTCAAATACAATTTAGAAGCTGCTCGGAAAAGAAATAGTCGGCATGATCGGGATCCAACTGGATGTTGATTGATGCTGGTTGTTCTAATCTCATGATAACTCTTGTACTTTGTGCTGTCATGAGACTGGACCAATAAACATGCCATTAGATTCTGATTCCAGTGTTCTGTCTATCTGAATTGCTGGTGTGGAATCTTGCTATTATCCTGGTTCTGCCAAAACCTAAAGCAAGGGGGGGGGTTTAGTGTGGAGAGAAGTTACAATTCGTTAAGTTATTTGGGCAGTTGTATTTGTCTGTGTAATTCCCTATTTGCACAGAACTTTCCCAATATATAAGTGACCAATAGTTCATTTTTAAATTGCACCCTCTAATACAAAAATATACAACGACGAGCCATAAGTTTATGACCACCTGCCTAATATTGAGTAGGTCTTCCTTTTGCCACTTAAACAGCCCTGACCCCTTGAGCCATGGACTCTACTACACCCCTGGAGGTATGCTGTGTTATCTGGCACCAAGGCGTCAGTAGCAGATCCTTTAAGTTCTGTCAATTGTGAGTTGGGGCCTCCATGGATTGTACTTGTTTTTCTAGCACATCCCACAGATGATTGATTGGATTGAGATCTGGAGACTTTGGCGGCCAAGTCAACACCTCAATCTCATTCTTGTGTTCTTCAAACCATTCTTGAACCATTTTTGCAAAGTGGCAGGGCACATTATCCTGCTGAAAGAGGCCACTGCCATCAGGGAATACAGGGGTGTACTTGGTCAGAAAGAATATTTAGGTAGGTGGTACGTGTCAAAGTAATAGCCTCATGAATGGCAGGACCCAGCAGAACATTGCCCAAAGCTTCTTCCCATAATGCATTCTGGTGCCATCTCTTCCCCAGGTAAGCGATACCCAGCCATCCACGTTATGTAAAAGATCTTGATTCATCAGACCAGGCCACCTTTTTCTGTTGCTCTGTAGTCTAGAACTGATGCTCACATGCCCATTTAGACACCTTTCTATCAGAACCAGCATTAACTTTTTCAGTAATCTGGGCTAGAGTAGCTCTTCGATAAGATTGTTCTACAGAGACCAGCCTTTGCCACCCATGTGCATCTATGACCCTTGGCCGCCCATGACCTTGTCACCAGTTTTCCTTCTTTGGACCAATTTTGGTAGCTCCTGACCACTGTAGACTGGAAACATCCCACAAGAGGTGCAGGTTTGGAGTTGCTCTGACCCAGTCGTCTAGCCATCACAAGTCCTCGAATCCTTATGCTTGCCCATTTTTTAGGCGTCGAACACATCAACTTCAGAGACTAAATTTTCACTTGCTGCCTAATATATCCCCCCCCCCACACCACCACTTCTAGTTGCCATTGTAATAAGATAATCAATGTTATTCACTTCACCTCTCAGTGGTCATAATGTTATGGCTGATCAGTGTACATTTAAGCCAAAAAAAAAACAAATAAACAAAACTCTGAGTTTGTGAAATTCTTTCAAGGTACCAAGAACATTCTTTCCTTAAATTCCTTTACCTTTAGACACACCTCAGCCACACTGCATTGTTTTCCTCTGTAGAAAAGCTAATAAAAAAAATCTTTTGTTACCACCTGTGTTTTTATATGCTGCCTATTCACTCCAGTCCGTATAAATCATCGTGGGAGAGTGTGACAATCTCAAACTGTCAAAAGTCCATTAACACTTAGAAGTGCATCTGTTTATCAATAATATAGTGATCATTTGAGGTCAGAATACATTCCCTGGAATTCATAAAGAGTGGCACAGTCTGTTTAGATGTGTGTCTCATCTCCGTGTGACAAATGTGGAAGGTGTGCGAAGACTTGCCAGAATTACTCCAGCATAATATTGGTCTTATCTCGGAAATGAAGGAATTCTTAAAGTAGAAATGAAGACAAAAGTTTGTTTTTAGTTTTGGATAGAGTAAGGGAGGGTTTTAACCCCTCAGCTTTTTTGTCACCTATGTCCCATTTGGGACATTTCACTTTTACTTCCTTTCCAACAGCCACAACAAGAAGTTAAAGGAAATCCCTCCAAAGTGGGGGAAATTCTGGGTGGTCAGCAGGGTCATCAGGACTGAGGTAGAGTGGAAGATTTCCAATCTACTCTTGTTCTGGTGACAAGTCATTTGGGTTCTTCTTTCACTTTCAGTGGTAATGGTCACAAGGACAAATAGAGAGGATGAATCTCCCTAACAGGGACAAAGACAGCAATATAAAACCTGGCGGGATCGAATCCCTCTCTCTCCCCCACTCTATTCAAACCTATTAAAAACTTTTGGCTTTAGTTCCACTTTAATGACTTTGTTGCAGCCAAAACAACATATTCAAAAAGTGATGCAAATGAGAACTAATTGAATTTGTCACACAGGTTGGCATTATTTGCACAATGTTGCACGGGTTACATGGATTTGGCACTGTTATGGTAAGCCTATGGAGGCTGAGGGGTTAGTGGATCGCAACTGCGGAGGCTTCTCAGTCTGTGAAACCCTGGTTTCACTCTCTTATTATCAGAGAGTTAGGGTTTCTTGCATCACAGCCTCAAACTAAACTGAACGCTGGTTTTAGAGTGGGGTTATTACGTCATAAACCCTAACTCTGAGCACCAGGTAGTCTGATATAGAGCTTAACAGTTGGGAGAGACACGATTCACTACAGCAAGATTCAGCTTTAACTTTAGTAGCAAGATTTTAAGCAAGTAGCTAGTAATGGATACAGTCTCTATGGAAGGTTGTGCAACTGCACTAAATACTTGCTGTTGTGAGGGTTGGTTTGGGAACACAAGCTGTGGGTCCTTTTGGAGTCCGGTTCCGGTCAGGGTAGCAGTCTAAGTACTGTGGAGGCATAGGAGGGTCCCAGGAGACAGCAGGCGTTCTGGCTCAATAGTGGAACGCCATGCTGTCTCGTCTGGGCGCTTATATACTGCTGTAGGGGTGTGGGGAGGAGCCGCCTAACGAATCGGCGCACTTCCGCGTTCCAAGGTGGAACGCACCCGGCCTTCGAACCCGGAAGTGACGAGCGTGCGCTCCACCGTGGAACGCAGCGGCGATCCGAGACGCGGCTGGCACCCGAAGCTTAGGTATGCGGCGGTGGCCGTTACAGGCACTAGACTCCATATTATAGCAATACTGCGAAGTAGTCTTTAAATGGATATATCACTGCTCTAATTCCCGCACTAGTTCCGCTCCTTGGAAGCATCAGAGATGCGGGCACTGAGCTTGTTAAACCATCTAAACCATCGTTTTAAAGGAGAACTCCAGGCAAAACTTTTCTTAACTCTTGCAGTGGGGCTACCCCTGCACTACAAGACTTAAGTGCTCATTTTGTCTAGGTGCAAAAATAATATACTTGCTCAAACTTTGGAGTCCTTCCAGCTTCCCTCTCCCTTTGCTCCAGCGGTCTAAGAATCCTTGTGTAATCACGTCTAATAAACGCAAGGACACTGAGGGACATACCATCACTGCGGGAGCACTGTAACAACCAGCCGGCTCAGAGGTCAGGTGAGTATAACTTTGTTATTGTAGCACCAAGACAAAAACAAGCACTTAGCCCTTGCAGTATGGGGGTAGCCCCACTGCAAGGGTTTAAAAAAAAGTTTTGCCCAGAGTTTTTCTTGAACTATTTTGTTGAACTTCCCAATATTTTGAATAGTTTGAAAAAAGTTTTATTTTATGCTGCCGTGCTTTTCACCGGATGTCATTCTTGTTTATCTTTTGTCTTACAAATTTGCAGCTTTCTCTGTATTCCACCCCAGTGCAAGAAGCCAGATTTGTTGAAGAGAAGCCGACCGAACTGGAAGAAGGAATTTCATGGCTCAGACAGTCTGCAGCTCCGTATACTAGCTGGTGTCAGGTATTTTATATATTTTACAAGTCAGTCTGCATGTTCCCAAACAGTGGTTGTGTTGTCAAACATTAACATCCCCGCGGTGTGTTATTTCATAACAAAGACTTTGTTTAACTAAAAGGATATTCTTAGTTCCTGAGAGAACATTGGGTATTTAACTCACGGCATGTAAACAACACGAGTCTATGCTTCCAGAGAGCAGGTTAACATTGAATATTCTGCGTGAACTAAGATGTCTTGTAATATCTACAGCCTCATTAAAGTGACACTAAACTCAGGAGTTAAATCTTAAATATGCATTCAAATACCTTAACTATTATCACATGTACCTTACATGTGTGTCACTCGGCTGTAGACCCTCAAATCATCTCTGCATTGGTGCTGACACTGTCCTTCCTTCTGGAGGGTGGCTAATTTTTGTAGGGCTGCAACTAATGATTTTCATAATAGATTAGTTGGCCGATTATTTTTTCGATTAATCGGATAAAAAAAAAAAAATACCATCCTTAATTTAAAATAAAATACACAGATGCATTGTTACAAACACAACATTTACTTAAAAATAAAACTGCAAGCCTTTCTTTCTTCCTAGAGAAAAAAATAAAACAGCATGCACATTTTTTGCAATCTCGCATACCGGTACCGTGCGTTCCAGTGAGGCCGATCACACTGTGGGTGGGAGGCGAGTTTGAGGTGCCATCCAAATGAATGGCACTGCAACACACCTCCCGCAGCAGAATTTGTCAGGCTGAAACGAAAAATGACTTTTTCCCACCTTTTTATCATTTTTTAATAATTGTATCGTAAGCACATGACACTTAAATAGCTTCAGTCAGGAAATGACGGCTGCTAGTGGCAAGATTCTGCAGACGGCAACTGAATGTGAATGCAGCACGTAGCAGGCTGGTGCAATAACCAGTCTGCTATTGGCCATTTCAAATTGCAATAGCAGGCTGGCTTTTGCACCAACCAAATGCTTGCTGTGTCCTCCTCCCAGCATGGAGGAGAGAGCTAGGGGATCCAACCAACTAATCGATAATGAAAATAGTTGACAACTATTGGAGGCCAAGCGGGGTGGTGTGGGAGGAGAGCTCGGCCTTCTGTCACAACTGACAGCTGTCTCCTCCCCGCATGGCACCGTTCTGTGTCCCCTCCGATCCCTGCTGCCCCTTCCGACACAAGCAAGGGAGAGCAGCAGGGATCGGAGGAGAGACAGGCCAGTGCCCAGCGGGGAGGAGAGAAGCTAGGAATGCACTGAATTTTCTGCTGTTTTGTTACTATTGCCATTTTGCACATAGTGCCATTTTCGGATGAAATGTTTCAGCGGCTGAAATTTTGGTGCATCCCTACAAGTTAGTAAACTATTTTAGTCCATCACAGGAGTGAGCTTGGAGTGGTAACTACTTTACAACATGCACAGGGACCATGGGGAACAAAAGTATAGAGCTGCAACCAACTAATCAATGAATCGATAATAATAGTAGTTGTCAACTATTTTGCGGCCGAGCTCTCCTCCCACACCACCCCGCTCGGCCTCCTCTGACAGGCGGAGCAGTCAGGATGGAGAGCGGAGTCCCCATTTTGTAGGTTGTCTCTGTGTTTGTGGAAATAGGACATGTGACTTGAAAAACACACTAATTAAAATGCATAATTTGTTTTCCAAGCGTTACTATTTATTATAATGCATTTTTACCGAAACTCACAAAAGATGCAGCAAGCAGAATATTTCCTTTTCATTGATTTTATTAGGTTTGAGAATAAAGTGCAAATACAAACTGGTAACAAAATGAGAAAATAAGTGACATCAGTAAATGAGCAGGAACAATATAATTGAGGAGAACGATCATACAGATAGAGATAGTAATTATATGTGCAGGGTGAGACTAGCAGAAGTCTTCAGAACCGCAAAACGCTGCCCTCTGTAACAATGCACTGATGTGATAACTTCATAGATTGTAATGATAACGTATTTTCATGCGCTTTTAGCGTGCTGTGATCCTGTGTTGTAGCACACTTAAAGGAGAACTATGAGGTGAGTGCTTTTCCCTCACCTCATAGTTCTAGCTGACAAGTGACAATGAGACTGTCACAGGTTGGCTCAGTAGATCGGGAGGTGAGCAACACATACCGGCGTTCGCTCGCCTCTCGATCCTGTCACGGCTCTCTGCCGTGACAGGGGAGGGGCTGCATTCCCCCCTCCCCGCTCCGATCCGCCAGCGCTGACTGCCGGAATGGACGGGGGGAGGGGGCGGGTACAGCTGGCTCTGCCTTTTAGATAGGCAGAGCCAGCTGTCACTCACGCAGCTGGGCGGATCCCGGCACAATTGTTGGGATCCGCTTCAGCTGCGGCGTCTCAGTATATCGCGAGCAGCTGCTCGCGGTATACTGCGACGTCTCAGTATACCGCGAGCTGCAGCTCGCGGTATACTGAGCCTAGGGTGACGGGAGGACGCTAATTTGTGTCCTCCCGTTACCCTAAGGAGAACTATGGGGAAAAGACTTAACCCCATAGTTCTCCTTTAATACACCATGGTGTCAGCCTGACCTTATATTGTATCTACAGCCAAAACTTGTTTTATTAGTTGTGAGTAGTATAGGTCTAGAAGTGAAGGAAAATCTTCCAAACATGACTCAAAGGCAAAACTAACCTGACTTAACCATTGCCTACGCTATCCAAAACTAAAACAAAAAACTTTTGCTATAAATACAATTAAAAGTTTATCTACAGCCAGTACTTTTTTGTTTAGATACAGAATTGTTAAACTTGCCATATATTTCTCTTGTTTGGTACCGATAAACAGTGTGGATGAAGGAATCTTCCCTTCTAGCTATTGTATTCAGATGCCAGCGGTCCCTCTGGCTGTCTGAATTCCCAAACACTGACTGCATCTGATTGCCTGTAGTCACTGTTCGTCTATCCCGGCTCTCTCCTAAACAGTGCATTGAAAAATTTACTTTTATCGAGCCAGATGGTGCCAACAGGGCCACCCACGGCTCAAATTTTGGCCTATTCAGCATGAATCTGCCTTAATTCAAGTAGTGTACGGCCAGCTAAAGGTTAATAATTCTGTTGTCCCCAGTACCAATAGAAAGGATAAATCTCCCCAGCAGGGGCTAAAGCAGCAAAGAACATCTGACTAAGGATCTTACCAGTCCCTAATCTATCCAAAATCACAAACTAAAAGCTTTGGCTTTAGATACACTTCATGGGATTTTTCTGTAATGGTTTGCACCATACCTACAAACTAAAAATCCACCCATATGGTCCTAATATTGCACTTATCAACTCTTCCCTCGTTAAAGTACAACTTAAGCCAAAACTTTTTTTTACATAGAGGAGGTTTGGGAATCCCAGACTTTGCACTCTACCATAAAGCGATCCTAATATCCAGAATATTGGACTGGATACACAGGGGCCAAGATAAAGGAGTAATAAAACTGGAAACTGATATTTCCCCAGTGCCTCTGAGGAATCTCCCTTGGCTCCCAGTAGAGTGCAGGCCACAGGCACCTACACTGCCTCTCCTAGTACAAGCGGCATTACAAGTATGGGACAAGTCGGTCACTAAATATAACCTTTGATCTAGGCCTGGACCCTTGACTCCCATCTTGGGTAACCCTCAATTTCCACCAGGTATGCAAGCAAACACACTATTAAACACGGAGAATACCCCACATATATGGATGTGGCAAGTGTTAGAACCAGGCAGAGAAGAATTAAAAACTAACCTACGACCAGAAAGACAAATTAATGGGAAGTTATGGATGGAGGCAGTTCTGCTCTCAGATTACATAAGACACCTTAGGATGCATAAAACTCTTAACAGGACATTTACTACATTTGAGAAATTGAGTATATCAGAAACTCCGGTCACACATACTTTGTCAGTAGTGTATGGCATACTAAGGGCAGAAGAAGATAAAGGACACACTAAGTATATGAAAAGATGGGAACAAGAAATGAGGGGGGAGCTATCTGACAGAGAGTGGGAAAGAATATTTAATATGACACATAGATCCGTTGTATCTTCCTTCCACCAAGAAATGAACTACAAAATCATATCTAGATGGTATAGTTGCCCAGAAGGTATTAGACACATAAATCCAGATTTAACAGACAGATGCTGGAGATGTACTCAGGAGGAGGGGACATACTTGCATATCTGGTGGAGCTGTCCTAGACTGCAACCTTTTTGGGAATCTGTATTTGGAATATATAATGACATAGAGACACAAAATTTGGAAAAATATCCTTTTGTGGCTTTATTGTCATTAATACCCGGATCCCTAAAAAAGATTAAAAAAACGAAATCTTAATATTTGTAATGATTGCAGCCAGGGTATGCATATCGCGGGGTTGGAAGTCAACGGTACCACCCACATTAGAGAATTGGGTTAGTACAATGGAGGAAATAAAATATATGGATGAGCTAAGTGCAAGGGACTCAGATAAAATAGAGAGATTCCACAAGATCTGGGGAAATTGGGAAAAATATACACAGACGGAAGGAGTTTAGGCAGACTTAAGGAGAAGGATAGAGTAATGAGAACGAGCCTAGGGCAAAATGAAATAAAGAATCCACAGTGGGGCACTGAATATATGACCAAGGATATAGATAAGACCTCGGATTAGATATCTCAGATATTAAGGTAGAATATGACCTGTATGAGTGGTGAAGTAGTAAGGAGTATGAATGCCTATTGGAGGAGTGGAAGAAAAGGACAAGAGGTAAGGATAAAAGAAAAAGAGGTGAGAGCACATTGGGGGAAGTTGAATAGATAAATAGAGGAAGTAAACTTGGGCTTGCACATGACACTAGATTTGAAGGTTAAAAAAAACAAGTATATGTAGAATAGGATCACAAATACAGAGAGGTGAGATTAGACTAGAAGAAAAGGGACTAGTTTTCACTTGGAATGTACACGATAGGTTTGACACTAAAGGGATATATGGAAAGGGGAGGGGGGGTTGTATATGATAGGTTAGACATAAGAGAATTAGGGAGAGAATATAGGATAAGGGGAGGGGGGTTTTGAGAACACGGAGGAGAGGATAGAGGTGTAATGACACAGGGGTAAGATGCCCTTCCTCCTACTCCTCCAAAGGAAGTTTCGAAAGAAGGAATGAATGATGGAAACTGGGAGGCAATTAGGGGAGAATGAATGAGAGAGGGAGGTAAGATACATATGCTAGTGTTTTTTTTGTTTTTTTTCTGGTGTATTATATTAATTTTTTTTATAGAATGGAATATGTAAAATGTATGAAATTAAAGTGTATTAAAAACATATTAAACAAAAAAACTTAAGCCAAAACTTTTTTTGGATAGTGTATAGTTGGGTATACACGGCTATATTTTCTTCATTCAACCTGCGAGTTGAACGAAGAAAATATAACAGATTCCTCCATCAACGCTTACGAGCGTAAATGAATGGAGCTTGCAAGCCCTGTTCAGCTGAAGATTTTCCAACCTGCTCCTTCGATCAGCTGACTGAGGGATGCCGGGAGGAAGTGTACCGACAGGGGCACCCACTGTGCTTATTTCAGCCGGTTCATCAAATACCATCGGAAATTCGCACGGTGTATAGCCTACTTAAGGGAGGGTTATAACCCCTGTCAGCTTTTTTTCCCATCTGTGGCCCATTGCTTCCTGTCTAATAGCCACAACAGGAAGTGAGAGGAAATCACTTCAAAGCAAGTGGTGATTAGCAGGGCCACCAGAACTTGAAGATTTCCCATCTATTCCTGTTCTGGTGACAACTCAACATTTGGGATTTTCTTTCACTTTTAGTAGTAACGGTCACCATTCCAATGTAGCTTGTCCAATGCATTTTAATGAAGCTGTTCACATCTCGCAGCTCAATGTCGCCTCTAGCTTGAACATGACCTATTTTTCGGCGGATTTTGTGCGATTCGGCTGAATAGACTTCTATGGTGTAGCTCAATGTCGCGCGACATTGCGCTACAGAAGTGTCACTTTTGCACAGAAATATAGGCAGGAAACAGGAAGAGGAATTATGTCACATCAAGACCGCTTTTGATTGGATACAGCCCAATGTAGCAGCTACGAAGTCTATGCCAAAAGTAGCTCTGCGTAGCGCGACAATATGTGCACTGTAGCTCAATGTTTCTCAAAGTCGCTCAGCTCAAATCAGCGCTTGATGTAGCTCAGTGTGAATGGGGTCTGAAGAAAGGTTTTGGCTTCAGTTACACTTCAAAGTGTCTGTCTGGAGAAAATGTAAAACTAAAAACATAGTCAGTACATGTCTGCAATATCTGGCCATGTCCGCATGTTACGTCTTGCCCTAAGTACAGGAAAAGGAGTCACTGATCATCTAGAAGTCCAGTGAGCTTCTATCTTCCTGTGAACTGACAACGCTGCCTCTACTGCATTGAAATCTCAAGCGGTGTTGTCAGCTCTTCCCAGTTCTCCCATACTAGAGTACAAAACACTCCGCTCTATGTTATGGAGATGAGATGTGGTATCACCTAGTTGAAACATTTGTGATGGAATGTGTAACATCTATAAAACATATAGCATTCACTTGGATTGTTTAGTGTTTACTGTGTAGAATAGCAGCAGAAAGCCACCTTCATGTTTACCAATTCCTTTATGTAATACATTTTCCACATTATGAAATCTCGGCACATATTTTCTGTGATAAAGTCATTAGAAAGGCATTTGGATACATGACACAGTCCCGTCACTTGATGCATTGCTTCTCATCAGAGAGAAATTGTTTGGCTGAGTAGAGCATGTTATGACGTGCACTTGTTTGAGGAAGGGAAACAGTCATTTATAAAGGCTTTATTCCCTGAGAGCGTAAGCTCTTTGTACCATGGTTACATAGCCTCACTCTTTTCACACTGGTTCTTTCCGTCTTTTTCTCTCGCCTAAACCAATATTTGTGTCGCTTCAGCTGCAGATTTTAATGAATAACTTGAACTTTCAGTTTTAAAAAAAAAAACAAAAAACCTTTGATTTATGCTTGGCGTTAAAGGGACAGTAGTGGTGATAGGAAATAACACTGGTCAACACACTTTTTCTGGCATAAGGTATTCCAACGGTTTTAAGGTAATTTTGGGGTGCTGATTCCAAATCTGGCATCAGTTTTTGTCTATCACATCAGGTTTTTTAGATATCAAATATTCCATTTTCAATAAAAACAGCAAATTTATGCTCATACGAATAGCTATACAGGCATACATACAAGAATAAGGTAAGCTACAATATACAATAATAATGAAACAAACATTTAATGAGCCGTAGCACAAAGTTGTGAGTGACTGCATATCAATGTGAGTGAATGCATATTACCATGTAAGAATTGAATTGTGAAGATAAGAAAAATATGTCATTCACAATAGTGATGTTACATCTGTATAAACGACCTCTTCTTTGACGAAGAGGTCACAGCTTGTGGAATGATGTACAGCTTGTGGAATGTCTCTCATCAAGGACCAGCAGTAATTTGCCATCATGTTTGAGTCCCATCGGCCTTGGTAACGTTCTTCCTAGTACACTGACACATCGCTAGTGTCAGTGTACTAGGGTGCTGAGGTTAGAGTCTTCAGCGAAAGACATTAGAACTCACAATACAGAACCTCTGCAAGTTATGTACATCCAATCGATTATAATCCCATCATCTCTAAGGCTACGTTTAAACCCAGGCGACACCTAGGCGCACGGTCAGGAGTCGCCAAGGTGTGAACCAATTGCGCTGTGGGTGCCATTATTTTCTAATGGCCCCCAGTCGCGCTGGGCGGATCGCGCGTTTTCCGCCGCGATTCCGTCCGTGCTTCCGAGCAAAACACATGGCAAACGCACTCATCAATTCGTCACCAGCTTTACAGCAAGGTGCACGTGGAAGGGCTTTATACAGTACAATAGCAAAAAGTTTCCCAGCACACTCACCACCCAGCATGCAAAAAAACTTGTCTCACCGCTAAGGTTAAAAACAGGTTTAGATACACGTCTTCTGCGGAAAATGTGAAAGCTGCACCGCCTCACCACTGTATAAAGCCCTTCCATGTGCACCTTGCTGTAAAGCTGGTAACGAATTGATGAGTGCGTTTGTCATGTGTTTTGCTTGACTGATTTGGTGCAGTGACGCATGGGGGGACTCAGCTGCCGTTGTGATGTGCGTGGTCCCTTGTCCGTCCCTGTGCCTTTAAGGAGGCTAGGCTTCCTCCTGACAAACCTGCACCCAATTTTATCTTTTGCCACATGTGCTCCAAGATGGAGACTCTCATAGTTTAGAGTTAGGACTACACTATATAGAGGTGCCTTGGCGAGGCGAGGCGGTGTGGCTTTCACATTTTCTGCAGAAGACGTGTATCTAAACCTCTGTTTTTAGGCCTGGTTCACACCTGGGCGTTTTACAGCGCGTTCCTACGCTCTGTAAAACGCTCAGCATGTGAAAACCAATGATTGCCTATGGGCATGGTTCCCACCTGGGCGTTTTACAGCGTGTAGGAATGCGCTGCAAAACGCCCTACGCCCAAAGAAGTACAGGAGCTTCTTTGGGGCATATTTGCCGCATGTATCCTTTGGGATACAGCCAGGTAGCCTTCGGAAACGCGCTTTTGTCGCGTGTTTTTTTAACGCGAATCGCCAAACGCGCATATTCGATACGCCTCGGTGTGAAACCAGCCTTAACTTTAGCGGTGAGACAAGTTTGTTTGCATGCTGGCTGGTGAGTGTGCTGGGAAACCTTTTGCTGTTACACTCCGCTTTGGGTCACTGGAGGACGCTAGTTTATGTCCTCCTGTGACCCATAGGAGAACTATGGGGAAAAACACTTAGTTTTCCTTTTAAGCTTTAAAAAATAAAAGCGAGAAGCTGATTGGTTACCGTGCAGAGCTTCTCCAGATTCTGTCTTCTCCAGTTTTGATCATTTCCCCTCAATTAATTTCTGACAGTATTTGTCTGTGTTTGCAGCTACGTAAGAAAATGCATATGTACTGGAGAGATGAACTAAACAAAATCCAATAGCAGTTTTTCCTGTGAAAGCTCTGCTGAGAACTGTAATAACCCACATTAGGCATCCATTGTTGTGTGTTGTCAGCAGGAGCAGGTATTGATTATCCAATGTTTATTGGTAACTTGAGAAATGAAATAAGTAGTTACTTTTACATCTGGAAATCCTACCATAGCAAGCTGAATATTTACACTGTCAGCATATAGCAAGCAGCAGTCCACTATATGCTGACTTTTAGTCACAGGACTACATTAGTAAATGTTCTCATGTGACCCAAAACAGAAGTAGAGCCAACAAAGGTTTCATTTTCTCATTACGTATAACCTGAAGTTTCTTGAATGCATATTTAAACAGTGCATGTGTTCAAAACCAGGGAAAGGCATGTACGATAGGACTATAGATAAGAAAAGGTATGGGACTTCAATTAAGTTTTAATTAATGATATGATTTATCATCTTTTGTAGGATGTATACACAAAGGGCAAACCTAAGGTGGAGACTGCAGTGGATCATTCAAAGGGTATGTATATTACATGCATGAAATAAGACACATGTCATTATTCATTGACATAGTCTGCCAAAGGATGTTTGAAAGCTCTTGCTAACATGTAACACAATCGCACATGTTTTAGCTTAAAATCCTTGTTTGCTTTTCACTTCTGGAGATACATATTGTAGCTTCTGTAAATCTGCAGAACACATGCTGGCTGTAGGCCAAATGTAAAGAGGACAGCGGATGCAGGCAATTGTAGGCAGGACAACACCTAGATTTAGCTGCGTTTTATCAGTATGATCTGCTGCTGTTTGCTATCACTAATAATGGTGTTTTCTTTACTTTGTGTGAGCTTTAGAACCGGACGTTTGATTCCAAGGTCAAGAATCAACTGTGTCAGCCGGGCCCTTACACCAAATTCTAAGCAGCTATAATAAACACATACATTAAATTGCTTGCAGGAGTTTATTAAAGGGAATATGTCAGGATAGAAATATGGGAGCTTCCATTGCTGACGTGTTTTGAAAAGTGCTAGCTCCATGTGAACCTTATCCTCGCTTCGTTACTTGGTAAAGCACTGACCTAGAACAAGCAGGTACATATCAGGTGTCCTCACAACTTAGGTGTACATCCTTGTTTCAGGTCTGTGACTCTCCCAAGTAGTGAAGGAAAGACTGAAACATACAACTGTCAGATTATTTTCATATCGTGGGTGCCACTGTCGGCACCCCTCCTATCGGCATCCCTTGATCAGCTGATCAAGGCTGCTAGTTTCATTCAGGTATTCTGACAGCGGTGATTCATCCAACAACACAAGTATGGAGGAAACTGTTCAAAGTTTTTTACCTTTGCAATGTGGGGGGGGGGGGCAGGGGGTGTCACTGCAAGGTTATTTTTCTATTTTTCTCCGTCTGATAGCTTTAAGATAAGAAATTTGGCAAGTGGTCACTTTTGTTTGTGACAAATGTATAACAATGTAAAAATATTTGAATACTAATGCATATTCCGAAGGAAAGAGTTAGCATGCACTTGCATATATGTTACTTCATTTTAACATCACTTAATGAGGTTTTGGTCATCCAAAAATTACTTTTCTTGCAACCAGAAACACAGAATTCCTCATGTAACTCTCTTCCTGCAGTGACATATGCATATCTAAAAGATGCACCCCCCGGATTCTACCCCAGACTTGGCCTGATTGGATTTGCGGGAATTGTTGGCTTATTCCTTGCAAGAGGTCAGTATATGATCAGTAAAGAATATTTTGCAAACCCTCTGCGGTGTAATCAAATATATACTTTGCAAGTTGTGATTTACTACAAATCAGATCAGCTTATAAAGAAAGTAGATTTATTGCTCCTGAAAACCCAAGCATTTATTATTTTATTTTTTTACACGAGTTTACCCCCTTATTGAAGGACACCAATATAAACAACATTGTTTTGTTTGTAAAGCTGTTTTTATTTTAATAAATAACATATAACAATTTTATCTTATTGAATGAATGTACATGCATAATGAGACTTTTAAGTTGCTGAAATAGTATAATCTCTTAATATCAATAAGTATTTGCTAATTGCACCTTCAGTTGGTCAGTTTGACCTGTACAGTAATATGCTGAGATTTTTGCCCTGTAAGTTTTTAGCAGTCATTTTGCGATCAATAAAAAGAGTATTTTACTGTACTTATTGTTATTAGGTTTTATTATCTCAGCACCTTGAAAGTCTCGTTATATGTGTGTTTTGCGGGTATCTATACTAGTGGGACGTGGTGCAGGGATCCATCAATCAGTCTAGATCTCCTGGATTATGTTTAGTATGTTTCTGTATGTCAATGATGCTTGTCAGTGTTTCTTACTTGCCTTGTCTAAACGATTGTACAGCACTGCGGAATATGTTGGCGCAATATAAATCAATAATTGTAATTGTTGTATGCAGATTAGCTGATCTTCCAAACTATACATCCAGAATAATGTATTGTGCCACCTGCCTTGCCTTATGATAGGATGCCGGTTAAAGGCATGCTGTGCTTGTACTCCACCCCAATGTTGCCTCCACATTACAGACATATTAAGGATGAGATGACAAAGAGAAAGGTTCCTGCTGTTTAATGCAAGAAGAGAATTTTTGTCGGCTGTTTTCAACCTGCTCAGCATAGAGTTCAAACACACCGACCCTCTTCCTTCTTTTTTTTTTTTTTTTTATTTTTACATTTGAGCTTGAATATTTCTGAAATTGAATTGACAGGGGTATGGAATTCCTATCGCCCGAATCACGGGACATGCAATTCTGGGGTCACCCGGACAGGTGTTTTTTTTCCTAGATTTAACCATACTTCGGGCAAGCAAGGTTTAAATGTAGAGTGGGGAAGCCCACACTTGTTTTGTACAAGTGATCTGGGCGGCTGTACAGCCACTCAGATCACTTGTATAGCAGCCTGTACGGCCGATCGCATTGCGGCCAGAGGGCGTGGCTGCGGTGCCATTCACTTCTACACACCGCCGTGCCCCCTCGCACCCCACAACAAACTGAGCTAGCTGCAATGCGACCCAATGCGTTGCGACCCAATGCGGACACAATAGCGCTGAAACGCACTGATGGTGTGTACGAGGCCTTAGAGCCGGTTCACACCACAAACAGTGCTTCCCAGAGCAGTCAGGCTCTGGAACGCACTGTATCGCACTCTGGCCGGTTCTCTGCGTTCAGGGGCGATCGCCCGCACCTGAATGCGTGGCACATTAGTGCCTGCGTTCCGGTCCAGGGCAATCTGCAAAAATGCTACAAGCAATAATTTTGCAGATTGCACTGAACCAGATCGCAGGCACTAATGTGCCACGCGTTCCGGTGAGGGCGATTGCAATATGGGCGAGGGGCATGGCTATGGTGACATTGACTTCAATGCACCGCCACGCCCCCTCCCGCACCTGAACGCAGATAATGCCTGAATCAAAGAATGCAATGTTTTAGGACAGTGTTTAGAGTTTGTTCACACGAGTTACAGTACAGTACGTTCCAGCACGGTTAGCTGGAACGCACTGTATCGCATGGTAAACCGCTGCGATCGCACTGGACCAGAACGCAGGGATTTTTGTGCCGCGTTCTGGTGCACACGAACGCACTGCGGCTGGGAAGGGGGGGGCATGGCTGGTGTGCCATTGACTTCAGAACGCAGGAGGGAGTTTACTATGCGATACAGTGCATTCCAGTAGCTAACAGTGCTGGAGTCAATGACACCGCAGCCATGCCCCCCACCCACAGTGCGATTGCCCGCACCCAGAACGCAGGCATCAGTGCCTGCATTCCAGTCCAGTGCGATCTGCAAACATAGTGCTTGCAGCATTTTTGCGGATCGCACTGGACTGGAACACAGGCACTAATGTGCCTGGGTGCAGGCGGTCCCACTGTGGGCAAAGGGCCTGGCTGCGGTGCCATTGACTTCAATGCACCGCCACGCCCCCTCCCGCCCCTGAATGCAGGTGTTTTTTCGTTGGTAGATCTCATTGAGCTCGTCATTTGAAAAGTAGTGGGCGCCCCTGACTTAGGGACTTGTTAGCCCCTGTGTGATAGCAATAACGCTAAGTGGAAAAAAAAAATTATAAATAAAGAAGTGACAAAATACAAAAAGTGATAAAATAAATTAAACTTAAAAAGTTAAAAATAATCAAAATTAAAAAGATGTAAACCAACAGCGTTCTCTAACACGCACAATGTGCATTAAAGGATACGTTCACTTTACCAAGTAATTTGGGAAAATGGAATTACCCGCTCAAATCTGCGCCCCCCCTCGATATACTTGCCTTCGCCGGTATGGGTGTTCTATCTGTATCCCATAATGCCGTCCAGCGTAGCCTTGCGCTATATATTTTGAATTTTGCAAGCAATGAGAAGTGCTTCTTAGCACGGTGAAATACAGTTTTGTTTAAAACATTTTTTGTATCAGGACAAGTAGATTGTCATGAGGGACATGTAAAATGGGACCCCACTTTAGTCCTTGGACAAGTAGTTTTTTTTGTTGTTTTTTTTAAAATGTCCACACCTCTGCATTGATATGTTACATGGTTTGACAGTACGTAGGAGAAAGAAGGAACAACTTAAAATGCAGTGAACTAGTTCAAGTAATAAAAGTGCTTTAACCCCTCCGTGACTGACGACGTACAGTGTACGTCGCCAGCATCGGGGCTGTTTAAAATGGAGCGGTCCTGCATGCTATTGCAAAGATGCAGTACATGAAATACCTAGAAGCCTAGTAATATAAAGGTACATATCTGTTCTTGCCATCTCTGTGATTGTGGTTGCATAATAACTCTGTTCTTGGGTCACTAATCAAGTTCCAGTCCCTGAACGCATTACTCCCTATTGTTTAAGAATATTGAATAGAAACATCAGTGGATTCTTGTACTGGCTTTCATTTGTCGTCATTGTTTTTTTAAGTATTTTTAACTTTGATGTTTTCTAATAGGTTCAAGAATAAAGAAAATAATATATCCTCTGGGATTTATGGGAATTGGTGCCTCCCTCTATTACCCCCAACGGGCAGCTACAATTGCAAAGGTAATAATTCAGTGTATATATGTATGATGCATGTATATCTATAGTTACATAGTATTTGAGGGTAAATAAAGACATATGTCCATCAAGTCCAACCTATTTGTGTATGTGTGTGTGGTCCTATTGGTGTGCAGTATGTATAGGTCCCTTGTGTGTTCTCAATTTTAAGAGTACTTGACTAGAGGTAACAATTCTTTTAATCTGTCTCATGTGACTTCCGGAAATTTTCAAAACTTCAAAACCCCTTCTGGCATTTTACCAGCAACACACTGAGCTCGTCACAGCAACAGGGACTATGGGTTTAGCGTACTATAATAATATGGTTACAGAATACTCTACAATATTCATAACTTACTCTCCTAAAGTACAATGTTTGCAGAGCAATAAAGGAGCTTTAGAGCAAAGTACATATTACTTTGTTACCACAATCAACTGGATTGCCAGCTTTGATAATTTCTGTTAACCTAGGGCAATGTCTGCTTAACCTTTTAATGCAAAATGTTTTCTGCTTGTTAAATGAAATCAATACTGATGTAGTGGTTTTTGTGTGTCTTTTTGTAACCACTTGTCACTTCACTTGCTCTTTCTATTGCTGCATGCACAGGCTGTGCCATTTCATGTAGGCACAGCCTGGGCAGTATAGGATCTCGTTGTAGGACACAGATGATTACTTCCAGTGTCAAACATACCCAAACTATATAATGCCATATTATTTTACCTGCTTCTCGAAGCACAACTTCGTGTTTACAAGTAGCAGCACTGCTAATAATGTGCTATGGATCGGCTACACATTCTTGTGCTGAAAACTCTTGGGGAACCTCAAGGTTGTGAATAATTACTTAAACTGAAACTATGTCTTTTTGATCAGTTTTTGCTTTATTTATGGGTCTGTTTACACCATTGCATTGTGGTAACATGCAGTAAAACTTGCACTGGAGCACACCAGTTATAGTGCAATGCATTTTGGTTCCATTTGTTTTGCATGTACACGTACTTGCACTGTAGCACACCAAAATGCATGATTTACATTATGGTGAAATGCAATAATAAAAATAGCAGTGGCGATTTTACTTGTTACCTTCTCAAGGTAGTCTGCCCCTTTTACCTGATCCAGTACATTGTTCTTCTGTCCTGCATACATTCCAGAGAAATGTATCTCCACTGCCTAGATATGGTAAGTGCTGTGAGTCTTATCTCTCTGCTACAGCGTCTTTTGAACAATCAAATTCTCGTTGTCATTCCTGAAGGTCCCCCAGGGGATACCCTGCCTCTTATTCCACCATTTCCAGGTGTATGTAGTAACTCATCTTCCGAGCCTATAGTCTACAGGATACATTTTTACCCTTCCCTGTCACAACACATTCATCTGTCAATGCTTCTGTCAGGGCTTTTCAGCATCAGGCATCTGTTTCCCAGATTTGCAAGACTGCCACCTGGACTTCTATTAGACGTTTGTTAAGTTGTACCAGGTGAATGTTCAGGCCTTCTCTGAGGCCAGTTTTAGTAGTAAGCTGCTTCCAGGTGCAACTCTCTCAAACCCATCCCTTGACTTGTTAGTTATGTGGGCCTGTTGGCTTGTTTGCTGTGTACCCACTCTCATAGGTGGACTGCTTTTAGATGTCCTATGGTCTAAGATCAAGAAAATAGGACTTCTTACCTGTCAAACAGGAGCCTTCCCTTTGTTTTCCTGTGATACACTCCTTTTTGCTTGCTACAAAACTGAGACTTGCTGGTAGTTGCAGGGGTTACAGTAGAGCTGCCCTTATAGCTTTGTTTGCCAGTGCTCAATCCCCTGAAGACAGCAGCATATAATCATTGATCTAGGACTTCTGTGTCCTGTGATGTACTCCAAGAAAAGAACTGAATCCTGATTCAATTCTCCCTCCAGTTTTTCTGCAAGTGTAGAGGAAAATAAGTTACAGTACTGACCAGTGCTGTTTTTTTTTTTTTACTCTGAGTACTAGTGGTACTTATTACATATTATGGGGGGTTAATGGCACTGACATTACAGCTCCCACTGCATTCATGGCTGTCCCCGTCTATAGAAAATGCATATATAGGCAATTTAGATTGTAATGTGGGATAGAGGAACAAATGGCTACGTGCAGTGGCGTAACAATCACCCAGGCGGCCGCTATGGGGCCCGAGGCACGGCGGGGCCCGGCCAGGACATCTCCCTGATGCCATGCGGGCCGCCTGGGTCGCTATGGCATCTTGCTCGGACAGCCAGGCTGCTGGATGTCACTGGCGGCTGTGAGGAGGAACGCTCCGTTCCTTCTCACAGCCGCTGCTGAGTTGGTGACAACCAGCAGCTTCGCAGGAGGTGGCTGGGCCCGTCATCGGCAGTGATCGAGGAGGCGGGGCCCGGCGATCGAGGGGGCGGGGTCCGGCGATCGAGGGGCGGGCCCGGCGATCAAGGGGGCGGAACCCGGCGATTGAGGAGGCGGGGCCCAGTGACGGAGGAGTCGATCGTGGAGGAGAAGGAGGCGGACAGAGGATCAGGGCTGACAGGTAAGAGGACTTGACCGCCCGTCTGAGACCCTGTAGAGCCTACCATAGAGAGTCTATGGTGGGCTCTGCAGGGTCACCCTTAGGTGGGCTGTTTGGGTTATCGTTATCAGATGGGCGTAACTAGAAATCACAGGGCCCCATACAAAATTTTGCTTTGGGGCCCTGTGATTTCTAGTTACGCCCCTGGCCACGTGTAAAATGTATTAACTCTAAGAGGGTGGATGCTATTAATCTGTCAGAATCGGCTGCTGCCCCCAGAATTCTATGATAGCCATAACAGGCAGGAGCAGAGGAAGGAGATCATTGGTGCGGCTTCACTGCGTGACCTCTATAGAGCAGGAATGTAAAGGTAGGTGGTTTTACAGTGTTCCTGCATTACTTTCCATAAAATTGATGGGGATAGTTTCCTGCAGTGTTTTCACAGACTGAATGTCACCTGTGTTTTCTTCTTCCCAATAGAAGTGCAGTATCACGGAGTCTATCTTCCCACATTATTCTGTAAATGTAGATTTGGCACGATTCATTCTTCATTTTTACCGGCTCCAAGTGGATTTTATATCGCTCATTGATTTAGAATGAAGAGCTCTCTGTATCCAGTATCTGCTCACAGACAAAATACTAATTGTCTCATCCGCTGCAAACACTGTGCCATTTGTTCAATGGTATTTTGACCATGCTCGGCTTAATAGACAGTCCGTTTAATATTGCTGTAACTTGGTGCCAGAATTGAATAGAATGTTCGGACCTTTATCAAGGGGATTATGTTGCTTTCTTGAGCTAGAAGTTGGTTTAGCTGATATAAAGATTCATTCTGGGTAAGTATTTAAAAACACCCTTTAGATCCCGTATGTAATCGTTCAAAACTCATGAACAAATGTTGCTGCTCACTTAGGGGTTTATTCACAAAAGGGTGAAGAGTTTGGAGAAGGCAGGAGAAGTGAACAATCTGGGCCAAAATAGTTGATTTGGAAAATATTCTCCAATTCAGCTCACTTTGTAGTTCAACTATGTTGTCCTAGATTGTTCACTTCTGTTCTCCAAACTCTTTACCCTTTTGTGAATAGCACTGTTATCTTTATTCTCTGAAATCTCTCTGTGCAGTAAAGTTCAAATTAGACTGCCTTAATACCTGCAAACCTAGACTTGCGGATTTGGGTTGCAAAAAAGTCTGCATTGAGGATGCCTCACCACATCCTACAGTGTAATGCAGGTTGCTGAAGACCACCATAGCACATTTCTTGAGAACTGAGAAAGTTAGCACCTAGCAGAGAGGCTTGCCACATGTATGAATCTGATGATGTGCTGCCCTCACGCAACCCCTCATAGTTCAGTGCAAGACTATCATTGTCTTATCTTTGTCTTCAATATATAGCACGCACAAGTCTCTCATCAAAGACATGGCAAGAATAAAATGCAAATGCCATGCCCATAGTAACCATATAATTCCAGCTCTTTATGTGTTACACAAACACACACAGTAATAATGCATGAGATGCTTTTAAACCAGAAAGTCACTCCAAATAACACTAATACCTGTTCAGGGCCTGGTGATGCAGAGAAAGGTGGGTCTATGATGTACTGAGGCTACAAATATTCCCTGTAATAAAAACTGGAAGCATATATGTAAGGACTGTAACTATGGTATAATAGCATATCCCAGATCATTCTCTAGGCACACACCTAATCTAACTTAATGACACCCATTCATAGACCTATATAGAAATATTTCAGTCCTACACCATTCTACTTCTGATGCCTGCAATTTTATATTAGCCCTATCTGATGTATGTTGCATGTATCCAAGGGCACCACTAAATGATTGTACAGTCTTCCTTATTCTACCCTCCTGAGTAATAATTTCTGATTTCTACATCCTATTTTGTGTATTCATAAGAGATGAACGGCACATCTTTTGTTAGTTAGCACCATACCCAAAGATGTATTACAACAGTATATTGAACTGTTTTCCTGCAGTCCTGCTTTAAAGAAGAACTCCCTTAACCCTTGCATTGGGGCTACCCCCGCACTGCAATGTATCTGGGTGCTAAAATAACAAGATTATACTCGCCCGAAGCTCCGAGCTGGCCAGCTGTCAGTGCTCCCTACAGCCTGTCTCCCCTGCAGCATTGGAATCTTCTTCAGTGTGTATAGGCGTGATGATTTATGGGACCTCTGACAGCTGCAGAAGAGGGGTAGAGATGTTGGATGGAGCGGTCTAAAAACAAACCGGCTTGGAGCTTCAGGTTAGTCTAACTTTTTTTAACCTAGACACAAATATTCACTTAACCCTGGCAGTTAATAAAACAAATGTCATGGAGTTCTTTAAACTAGCTACACAACTGATAATCTAAATATACAACCTACTATAAATGTATAATCTTTTCAGTGCATAGGGCCAACCTAACCTTCAAATAATATTCAATCAGGTGGTCCCTCAAACAACACCATTTTTGGAAAATGTTTCTCATCTGACAGATCAGATGTAAGTCAAACTCTGGCGCTGTATGTGGTCAGCTTTAAGAAGATGTAGAAAGTATCCCACACTATATAAATTCAGTCAGATAAAAAAGTAAGCACACTCCATGAAAACTGTTGACTTTTTTTTTTTATTCTTTATTTATACACAACTCGGGTACAGTAAAAGAGACAGTTCTAAGTATTACATGCGCATGAACATGACTTCCAGATGACAGCATGAACATCCAAGAAAACGTGCACCTCAAAATATGTATATAGACATCCTCAATTGTCATCAATCATGTGCAACCATCTTACTCTGAGACTGGCTCATTGTCTCCGAACCCGATTAATCAAGTCAGCTATAAATTCTACATCATGTTAAAGTGTGCCTGATGAGAATGTGAGGCCATCTTCAGAAGTTTAGACTGAACTAGAAATGGATGTTTCAACATGTTAATTATCCAAAGAACACTAAGGAATGACTCAAAAAGAAATTAAGGGTTCTGGTGAAATCACATAGAAATGTTATGGGGGCGAATTTGAAGCAGGTAGTTCATGCAGGGAATCTGAGTCAAGTCATAGACTGTTGGGCAGTTATGCAAGGCCTACAAGAGGCCAAGGGTTTACTTTCTTATCGCACCATTACATCCGTTAATATTTTTTTTGAATTATTGATTGAAAATCACACTTGTCCGATGTGGCTTTAGATGTCTGTGTATCTTAGTCACTGCCAGTATAGTACTGATAGTTGACACTATCATTCAGACACTGGAAAAGTGGTTAATATCGGCCGAAAATTGCACTTTTGGCAAAATGCCGAAAGTGCCATCTTTCGGCCCAAATTGCGGTGCATGCCTGGTTTCTCTCCTCCCCGCTGGGTTCTGCTCTGTACACCTCTGACACAGCGCAAGCGTCAATCGGAGAGGACAGAAACTGTCACAGGAGACGGGGCGGTGCGGGGGAAGGCTCTCCTCCCGCACCGTCCCGCTCAGCCTAATGTGACAGATCAGGAGCAGTGTGCGGGCAGAGACGGCTGTCACAGGAGGCCGGGCTGGTGGTGCAGGGGTGGAGACAGCTGTCACAGGAGACTGAGCTCTCCTCCCCATACCACTCGCTCAGCTTCCTGTAACAGTGAGTCAGGATGGAGAGCGGGTACAAGCAGTCAGCGATTGCTGACTGCTTGTAAATAATTCAGGACATAGTATGTTTACTGTGCCCCCAATTATGAATGAATGGGAAGTGATCTACATCACTTCCTGTTCATTCATGTTTGTGGATATGGTAAACATTCAACACTTAGTGTAGGCTTCCGGTTCATTATAACTGGGGCTGCAGAAAAAGAGATTGAGGGCTCTGTGTCCTCAATCTCTTTTTCTATTTTAAAAGGGAAATATCAGGGGTCTGTTTAGGCCCCTGATATAATAAAATATAAAACAAAAGTTTCTCAAAAGTAAATAAAATATTTAAAAAAAATTCGGTGCACCTGTATTTCCTACATATTATTAGTGCAGCTTGTCTTCTAGAGCTTGTTGCCATTCATTTGGTTATTACTTCTATATGATGACACAGCAGAGCATATTACAGTGCCTGGAGCACACAGTGGAGCAGATGGACTTGGAGATAAAAGCACTGCTCAGATGTTGTAAACTAAATGCATTACCCTGGATTTTCAGGGCACATGAGGCTTGTTGTCACAATAAATCCTGCCTGAAATGAACTCATCAGATTATGTGGGTTTGGAGCTAAGCGCTCGCTCTCTGTTATTTCTGCATATTACTTACATAAGATAAGATGTGCTCATGGTATCGGAATCCTTGTAGAAAGGGTAATAAAATAATTAGATTTACAGTTATATAAGATGCTTTACTACCAAGTAAGACAGTGGAGCCATCCCATGGTTCCTTTAGTCATGTCATTCACATTATTGGGACAGCAGTTCTTTGAAAATATATTTAATTTCTTCTGGAAAGTCTCTAAAACTAAGTCCTGGGAAACAAACTCACTTCCATATGTGTTTATTATTTACTACTTCTCTATGTATTCTAGACAGGACTACTATCTAATCTGTGTATTTTAAATGCTCCTCCAAATGTTTTAGAAGATTCTCATTTAGGGCTGTCCTAGGCAATCTGGGACACGCGATCGTGTGCAGTTGCACACAGCAGTTGCCAGGCGGCTCCATTGATTTTAATGGGGTTACATCCACACGGTAATCGCTAAAACATGTACCTTTTTTTTGGCGACACACGACATGCAGCTTTTTCAGACGCGATTGTGTTCGATTTGCATGGGTGGAACCGCGTGAATTACCCAGCGCGATTGGGGTGTCATTCGAAAATAATGCCACCACCAGCGCAATCAGCAGTGGTGTGCGACCCCGTGACCACACGGCAATCCGCGCGGTTTCGTACACGATTGCCGTACAGTCACACATCGCTCAAGTGTGAACCTGGCCTTATTCTGGTCAGGGTAGCAGTTAGCAGTAGTTAGTCACATTCAATTGGACTTGTTCTGTATAATTGCTTATCCAAATGGTGTATGTATTTATCTGGTTTTGGCACTACACTCGGCAATACATGCACACTATTGCTATTTTCCATTATAAACTCTGCTTTTTACTTGTTTTGGATCCAACGTTTGCCACTTTGGCGTTACCAAACTTAACCCCACAAATATATGTGCTCCTGCACACGGGTGCTTACCCCTGTACACTGTAAATGCGGGCGTATTCCCGGATATGAAATCATCTTACATTCTTTAGTTAAACAAACATATTTTGATTTTACTTGCAATTATTGTTTTTCCACTACCTGATCCTCTTGCGCATTAGTGATGCAGCCTGTGCCCAAGCGTTGCATCATGGAAAGGTTACATCAGCAGGGCATTGCTGGGAAATATAATCTGTAATCTCACAAGATCTCAGGCAAAGGCATTTTACTCCCCTGAGATTATGTGCATGGTCACATGTCCTAGTCACATGTGCCAGAGTTCCAGGAAGTAAAGGGAGATATATTATTTCGTTAAAATGGCCACTGTAATAAGAATGGGGCGGGAAAGAAAAATGAGGTATGCAAAGAATATAAAGCCTGCAATTATCTATAAGTATCTGTTTGCAGATTGCCATCACTAAACATTTCTAAAGGCGTGTTTGTTGTCATTTCAATGATAAGGTTAAAGTTCCTCTTCAACTCTGAACTGAAAAAAAAAGATGTAGCTGTAGGTAGACTTTAAATGCAATGACTTCACAAAGAACACTGTGCCTAGAATAAGGCTAAATATAGTGGACTTCCCATTATAAGACATCATGTATCCTGTTATGAAATGTGCTGTCTCTAGCATGTTGCACATACGGCTAGATAGTTATACCGACTGTGACTGTTCAGATAAGGCAATATTATTTTACGATTTGCACTGAGCCTTCCAACTTCCTTTCTTTACCTTACTTTCTCTTTTCTCATTTTTCCCTTACGTTTGTTTGCATTTCACAAATGTTTACCACTGCTTTATTGTAAAGTAAAAACTACAAACAGATATAAAAAAAAAAAAAACATATGAGGCACTTGAGTAATATTTTAGGAATGTGTATTGGTATTTACAAGTGACATGAATAGCTGACCCTGTCCCGAAATCAGCCCACTGCTATATCCTGCACCTCCTCACTCAGACTGAGGAGGAAGGGGCAGCACTATGTGCCAGTCAAGCTTTGATGCATGCAGATGCTCTGACAGGTAACTCAATGTATATATAGCTTGTTGCTGCACCTTCAGCAACCCCACTTTATTCCTTAACTCTAACAGAGAAAGTGGGGTGTCCAGCGGCAATACTGTGTGTAAATCACAAATGAAGCTGGACAGAATTAAAAATCCTTGGGCAGATAAGACAGTGTACATGTAATGAACCTGCCAATGTGTCTGGAGTTTAATGTTGGTAACGTGTTTTTATAATTGACTATGTGCCCATATGTAATGTCTGTCGATTTTGTCTCTCAGTGTAACCCAACCCTGTCCCCTGTAAATACATCTTTACTAAGACTTTTTTTAAACTGCAAAATGCAATTTTATCATGTTTTTTGCTGGCTTATTTGCTTTAAGGGCACAAGTACAGTGCTATATGACTGGAGCCTCCAAGGCCTTGTAACCCTAGAGTCTTTGTGGAAAGATGGCGGAAAAAAGAAGTCTGGGAAAAAAGAAGAAAAGGTAGGACTGTGACCCAAATATATGGTAACTGTCAAAATGTGTTATATTATTAAAGTGACACAAATGCATTCAAGTACCTTGAATATTAACAAAACCGTACCTTAATTGTGTATCACTCGGCTGTATATCCTTAAATCATCTCTGAATTGGTGGTGACACTGTCCTCCTTCCTTCTGGGACATACGTGTCAAACTCAAGGCCCGCGGGCAAGAACCGGCCCGCGACGGAATTATCTCTGGCCCACCTGATGATAATTAATTATCATTAGATCTGGCCCTGCCCGCCGGTACCTCTCACGCTGCCCGCAGCGATCTACATGGGACTGAGGAGCCGGAGGGCTGCCGCCGGCCAGAGGATTGCATTACCCAGCAGGCAGCCTGGCAGCAGCACAGCATGACAAGGGAGGTGTGGCAGTGAGGTGAGGTGACTGAGCGGGGTCCCGAGGTCCAGTCCAGATGACGTGAAGTGCTCCTTGGCGGGAATTAGGATCCAACCCAGACAGAGAGCCGGGAGAGCTGCAGCCTGCAGGTACTGTGCTGTGACACTGTCAGTCAGTATATCTCTCCCCTTCTTCTCCATCACTTCTTCTGTACTGTAGAAGTCATGGAGAAGAGGGGTAGTGATATACTGAAAGTAGTATCTGTGACACCTGTGTACCGCCTGCCTCCACACTAGTATGTAATCTACAGTGGGGCAAAAAAGTATTTAGTCAGCCACCAATTGTGCAAGTTCTCCCACTTAAAAAGATGAGAGAAGCCTGTAATTGGCATCATAGGTAGACCTCAACTATGAGAGACAAAATGAGAAATCAAATCCTTGTGAAGGACAAAGGATATATAACAAAGTATTGAGATGACCTTTTGCTATTGACCAAATACTTATTTTCCACCATAATTTGCAAATAAAATTGATATCTCCCCTGAGCAATGAGGAGAGAAAGCAGGGGAAGAATCCACAGAAGAAAACTTTTTCGTAAGTAAATGCTCTGTACTATTTAATGTCTTTTTTTTTCTTAAAGGGAACGTAAAAAACAGAATATCTTATAAGACCACTTAAAGTGACACTAAACTCTGGAGTTAAATCTTAAAATTGCATTCAAGTACCTTAACTATTAACAAAAATGTATCTTATTTGTGTATCACTTGGCTGTAGATCCCAAATCATCTCTGAATCGGTGCTGACACTGTCCTTCCTTCTGGAGGGTGGCTACTTTTGTTCCCCATGGTCCCTGTGTATGTTGTAAAGTAGCCACCGCTCCAAACTCACTCCCGTGATGGTCTACAATCTCATGTTTACTTTACTAATTGTATTGAGATTGTAGTCCATCACAGGAGTGAGCTTGGAGCAGTGGCTACTTTACAACATACACAGGGACCATGGGGAACAAAAGTAGCCACCCTCCAGAAGGAAGGACAGTGTCAGCACCGATTCAGAGATGATTTGGGATCTACAGCCAAGTGATACACAAATAAGATACATTTTTGTTAATAGTTAAGGTACTTGAATGCAATTTTAAGATTTAACTCCAGAGTTTAGTGTCACTTTAAGTGGTCTTATAAGATATTCTGTTTCTGTCATTGATTACTTTGACAAAAGAGAACAAACTGTCTAGCTTAAACTGGGTAGATCTTTGTCCTTGTTGCACTTGAGAGGCTCCCACTTCCTCTTTCACTACTGGTAACTACTGTCTGCTTCCTATAAGCAGGAGACCGGACATACAACTGCCCCCTGTAGTGGTGTTGCCTATCAACACACGAAGCTGCAGGGTCTCTGCAAGGCAGCAAGGGGTTCGGGCATAAGTTCGGTAGAACTATCCCCTAATTAAGGCTTCACAGGTAGAGAGCACACTGGCACAGGAGAGGATAACTTTGAACAGTGTTCACCTGGCATAGGAGGCAATCATATTGAACAGCACATAAGAAAAGATCGCCTAGAACTGTGCATGGCAACAAGTGCACAGTGAACCTTGCTAAGGATGACCGTGGAGTTCTCTGCTCCCATCACCGCCAAAGCTCCACCCATCCAGCTGCCTGTAACACCTCCAACTCGCTGCCAATGAAAAGAAAATTATTAGATCCCTGTGATGATAGCACAGTCCTATAAAGCTTGAAATAAAAGTAGAAAACAGGGCATGTGAGTAAAAGAAAAAAGTTTATCAGGTTTGTAAAGAGAAGCAGTTATAGGTTTATTTATATTTTATAGTTTTCATGGAGTTGAGTTTTCATTATAAAGAATATCATTTTTGGTGGCTGGGTAGATCTTACAACCAGTCTTATTTTCTAAATTGTGTAGCCTTGTCCCTGAGTCTTGGTACAACCCTTGTGTCTATAGCCTAGGGAGGTGTTCCATCCCTCTGTACTGGCAAGTTGGAGCAATTTAGAAAGTTTCCCCTTGCTTGTGTTTTCCTTTGCTAAACCTCCACCTTCAGGCCTGTCATGAACCATAGAGTGAACTTGGATAAAAGATTGCTGCAATACCAAGACTTAAGCTGCAGGGAAGGCTTGTGGGCTTGTTCACACCAAATGCAGACCAGATCTGCATGAGTTTCTGCACACGCAGTGCGTTATACCGTGTTTTTCTGGGCCGTTTTTTCTGTTTAAAATGGGCTTTCAGTGCTTTCCAGGGCATTTGCATGTGTTTTTGATGCCTTTGCATGCGTTCCAGAGCAGGTAAAATAGGGCTTGCTGCAGTTTTTTTTACATGCTCTGGAACTGAACGCTGCGATGTGAACTTGAGCCCAAAATACCATTGAAATACATTGGACGCAGTTTTGATCCGGTCTGTAACTGCTCTGCCCCTGGAATGCGCTTGATGTGAACAAGCCCTTAGGGGACCTGTGATGAATGTTACAAGAAACCCATGAATGTACCTTAGAAATGTCCACAGAGAGGAAAGTTACATTTTAGAGGAGTGTGCTCTCATAACCAGTAATCTAGTTTCTGAGCATACATGAGAATTTCACAGCAATTCAACAGCATTGTAAATAAACATATTGAGTAAAGAATAATTGAATATTATACTTGTCACTTTTCAGCCATTGGGAAGGTCTACTTAGGTGTAGAGCATGCTTTTAGCAGAGTGGAATGACACAATGGTAGGTGTTATTTTCAGATTTTATCTATCAGCTTCCTCTGTCAGAGCACATTTCGTAAAACTGCTATAATTACTGTGAGTTGACAGCATAGACAAAATACCAGAAAAGGGCAGAACAAAGACTACTGTGAGTTCCTATGGAAGGATAAGAAGACATTTAACTGCATGGGAAACTCCAAAACCTCAACCAATTCTTCCTTGTTTCTGGTATTCACCTATCTTGTGTAAAGTGACATGCTCAGTACTATGATAGAAGTAATTCTATGGAAATAAAATGTTTCATATAATATAATAAGGTGTTGCTTTCATTGATAGCCTACCCCATCTGTAAATAGTTCCCAGCTATCAACAGAGGAGGCTACAAAGCTTGAGAGTTCATCTGAAAGCTCCAAATAAAGGTGAGCCAAAAGAACTGCAAATATACATTTGTTATAAAATTACACACTAAAAATGGAGACCACGCAGGTAAAAAAAAAAAAAGACTACTCTTGGTTGATTAGAGCTGGATGGATTGAATCGATTCGTGTATTACTTACAGCAGCAAATCGGATTCCATTTCTAAAATCTGCTCTGGTGAAACAAAAATGGAAATCTAGGTATAAATAAATACACTTTGATTTACATTAATGTGGCACAGTAGCCACGCCCTCCGGCCGCAATGCGATCGCCTGCACAGGATCGCAAGGCACATTGTACCTGCGGTCCAGTCTGGGGCAATCAAAATAGTGCTTGCAGCATTTTGATCGCCCCGGACCGCAGGCACAATCTGCCTTGCGATCCCATGCAGGCGATTGCATAGCGGCCGAGGGCGTGGCTAAGATGCCATTCACTTCAATGGCCCGCCACGCCCCCTTCTGCCCCACAAAAAAGTGAGCCGGCCGCGAGGCAGTGCGTTCTGCCCAGAATCGGACTGGAACGCACTGCATCTGGTGTGAACGTACCCTGAGGGCCTGTTCACATGATTTTCAGGTGCGGATCTGCAGACGCCGTGCTACTCATGCAGTGCGTGTTTGACGCCTTCCTTGACGCGTTTTTGATGCGTTTTCGGTCCGAATGCTGACAGTTCTTTTTTTTTTTTTCAAGCTGTGGGGCTGTCAGTATGCAGATTCTTTCTCTGAGGTCACTCCCGCCCTCTCGTAACATCTACTTCCCTTTGTGTATGTAATCAGACATGTATCGCATGTTTGCAGGCATGTTGATGGTGCTGGCTACAGCAATCTGCAGAGTCTTTACCTCCTTTTTTTTTTTTGCTTAGCGTTCCGTTTTCGTTGCGTTTTTGCCGCGTTGATGCGTTTCCTGACCGGACAAAATGTGACATGCATTATTTTTTCTGTCGTAACCTGAACGGACTGCACACGTGAGAACTGTAGCCCATAAAACACATAGGAATACATTGGGATGCATATTTAGTGCAGGAGCGTAGTGCAGGAGCGTACGGATCAGGTCAGCACAGAAAACGGACGTCTTGTGAACAGGCCCTGAATCTTAAAGATGCATTCAAGTACCTTAACTATAAACATAAATGTATCTTATTTGTGTATCACTCGGCTGTAGATCCTCAAATCATCTCTGAATTGGTGCTGACAGTTTGAGGATCTACAGCTGAGTGAAACACAAGTAAGGCACAGCTTTGTACCTTTGTTAATATTTAAGGAACTTGAACGCATTTTTAAGATTTAACGCCCAAGTTTAGTGTCACTTTAAAGATGGGTAAGGCCCAGTGGCGTAACAATCGGGGGTGCGGGGGGGTCACTTGCCCCGGGCGCAGGACTGAGGGGGGGCGCCGTCACGACCCCCGCAGGCCTCTCCTCTTAGCAGTCAGTGGTGGGTGTAGGAGGAGAGCTAGCATGCCTCTCGCTGCCATTCATGATGATACATGACGACAGACGAGACAAATAATCATTCTGGCCGTCTGGTTTCGATCAGCCAGTTTACACATTAGCAGCTTCTAGACCTGAAACATAATTGCTTTTAGATTCTGCCTAGAAAGCCATGCAGCACACCCACTAGATGCGATAGAACAGTGGTTCTCAACTCGTGGGTCGCGACCCAAAAGTGGGTCGCGACACCCTCTGCAGTGGGTCGCGGCGTCATGTCTGCATAGGCCGGCCCATCTGCATTAGAGAGAACTAGAGGGGGAATTTGAGGCTCAGCCTGTGGAACCTCATAATGTCAAACTGTCCCCTCTCTCCCGGCCTCCCCCGGGCTCTCCGATAAAGTGGTATGGCCCGGGGAGAGAGGGGACTATTTCCTCACTTTCGGGCCGGCGCATTAATATCAGGGGCCGCGGCGCCCGACAATTAAGTTATAGTTCCGGTCTGCACTGGAGAGTACAGCAGATATCAATCCGCCGCTGTATCTACTGTACTCTCCAGTCCAGATAGTTCAGTCGGCTGGAATCAGAGAAAGGTAGGCAGACAGGGAGATGTGCACTGTGGCAGGACAGGGGACACTGATGGATATTATGTATTCCAAGCCCACATAATATCCATCATGTATATCCATCACTGTCCCCTGTCATAATGTATGTTAATGAAATACACAATGTTATTACACAGACTGGGCTCAGAATACATAATGTCCATCAGTGTCCCCTGTCATATTGTCCTCAGTCAGTGCAGAAGCTGGGGGGGGGGGGCATTAGCAGGGGGCTCCGCTGCAATTTTTTTACCTGCAGCAGAGCCTATGCTAATGCACCCCTCCCCCAGCTTCTGCACTGACAGGGAACTTTATGACAGGGGACACTGATGGTCATTATGTATTCCAAGCCCACATAATATCCAATAGTGTCCCCTGTCGTAATGTCTCCTGTCAATGCAGAAGCTTCGGGGGGCATTAGCAGGGGCTTAGTAGAGAACCTGCCGTGGTGCCCCTGCTAATGCCCCCCCTTCCCCATACAGACACCCTCACCACCCCCTCCAGGTTCTGCACTGACAGGGGACATTAGGACAGGGTACATTGATGGACATTATGTATTCCAAGCCCACATAATGTCCATCAGTATCAGTGGCGTAACCAGAGTTATGGGCGCCCGGGGCAGACATTCCCCCCCCACCCCCCATTATATAAACATCCATTGGAACTGTACCCTGCAACCGCCACAGGTTTTTATTTTAATTTTGTAAAATATCTAATTTTTATTCTTTATAAACTTTTTAATTTTTTTTAATTCATTTACTTTCAGCAAAATATATATTGCTGAATACTGCACAAGTTGTTTTGTGTAATAAATTAAAATGTTTCAGAAATGAAATCATTTTTGGGTCACGCCTTAATGACCAAGGAAACATGTGGGTCCCGAGGTTACACAGGTTGAGAACCACTGCGATAGAACATTCCACCAGAGTCATATTTATATCTGGTATGAAGGTCCTATTTGGTGAGGAGTCAGATCATTGTAATGATAAATTCAGCAATAAGACTTCTTGCCCATTTAACCACATTGGGCATATAGACATATCCCAGACCAACAATTTACATGTATCTGTTTAATATTAATTATAATTCTTTCAGAGAATGAATGATTTATGGTTATATTGTATAAATCAGGGGCGCCCACAATATTTCATTTGGAGATCTACTTTTCAAATGGCGAGCTAAATGAGATCTACCAGCGAAAAAACACCTGCATTTAGAAAAAAAGCGCACATTAAAATCGTTACTGGGACTACTGCCTCTCTCTCTCTCTTCCCTCTCTCTCTCTCCTCCCTCTGGGCCGGTTAACACCACAAAGTCTGCGTTCCAGAGTGATCGGCCTCAGGAATGCAGGCCAGCCGGCTCCCTGCATTCAGGGGCGGAAGGGGGCATGGCAGTGCATTGAAGTCAATGGCACCGCAGCCACATCCCACGCCCGCAGTGCGATTTCCCGCACCCGGAATGCTGGCACATTAGTGCCTGCATTCTGGTCCAGTGCGATCTGCAAAAATAGTGCTTACAGCTGCGGACAGGGGGCGTGGCTGCAGTGCAATTGACTTCAATGCATCGCCACACCCCCTCCCGACCCTGTTTTCAGGGAGCTTTAGCCTGCTTGCGTTCTAGAGCATTCGACCAGACTTTGTGGTGTGAACCGGCCCTCTCTCTTTGCTGTCTCTCCTGGCGTGCTGTCTCTCCTCGCGCGCTCTCTCTCCTGTCTCTCTTGTCCGTCTCTCTCTCCTGCCTCTCTCTCACTCTCTCGTCTGTTTCTCTTGTCTCTCTCTTGTCTCTCTCCCGTCTCTCTCCCGTCTCTCTCTCTCTCTCCTGTCTCTCTCTCCTGTCTCTCTCTCCCGTCTCTCTCTCTCTCCCGTCTCTCTCTCTCTCTCCTGTGTCTCTCTCTCCTGTGTCTCTCTGTCCTGTGTCTCTCTCTCCTGTCTCTCTCTCTCTCCTGTCTCTCTCTCTCCCGTCTCTCTCTCTCCCGTCTCTGTCTCTCTCTCTCTCTCCTGTCTCTCTCTCCCGTCTCTTGTCTCTCTCTCCCGTCTCTTGTCTCTATCTCTCTCTCTCTCTTCTCTCTTCTGGCTGTCTTTCCTTACCTGCACTGCAGCAGCTTCCTGAGTCTCCTCTCAGGTGCGGTGTACAGTCCTCCCGCGGTGCTCGTGTGGCCGAATGTGCAGACTGGGAGAGGTGTCCCGCCCCTTCCCGTCTGCAGCGTCTGACACATTCAGCCGCACGAGCACCGGGGGAGCGAGCTCAGGTAAGTGAGCCGATCGCAATCTACCAGTGTTCGCTTTGCGATCGACTGGTAGATAGTGGTGGACCTAATGGGCACCCCCGGTATAAATGGATTGATTTTGTGGTGTGAACCGGCCCTCTCTCTTTGCTGTCTCTCCTGGCGAGCTGTCTCTCCTCGCGCGCTCTCTCTCCTGTCTCTCGTCCGTCTCTCTCTCCTGCCTCTCACTCTCTCTCTCGTCTGTTTCTCTTGTCTCTCTCTTGTCTCTCTCTTGTCTCTCTCCCGTCTCTCTCCCGTCTCTCTCTCTCTCCTGTCTCTCTCTTGTCTCTCTCTTGTCTCTCTCCCGTCTCTCTCTCTCTCCTGTCTCTCTCTCCCGTCTCTCTCTCTCTCTCCTCTCTCTCTCTCCCGTCTCTCTCTCTCTCCCGTCTCTCTCTCTCTCCCGTCTCTCTCTCTCTCCCGTCTCTCTCTCTCTCCCGTCTCTCTCTCTCTCCCCTGTCTCTCTCTCTCCCGTCTCTCTCTCTCCCGTCTCTCTCTCCCGTCTCTGTCTCTCTCTCTCTCTCCTGTCTCTCTCTCCCGTCTCTTGTCTCTCTCTCTCCCCCGTCTCTCTCTCCTGTCTCTCTCTCTCTCTTCTCTCTCCTGGCTGTCTTTCCTTACCTGCACTGCAGCAGCTTCCTGAGTCTCCTCTCAGGTGCGGTGTACAGTCCTCCCGCGGTGCTCGTGTGGCCGAATGTGCAGACTGGGAGAGGTGTCCCGCCCCTTCCCGTCTGCAGCGTCTGACACATTCAGCCGCACGAGCACCGGGGGAGCGAGCTCAGGTAAGTGAGCCGATCGCAATCTACCAGTGTTCGCTTTGCGATCGACTGGTAGATAGTGGTGGACCTAATGGGCACCCCCGGTATAAATGGATTGATTTTGTGATTTAATCATATTTGTGTCTGAAATGTACATTGATTTGTAGTTCACAAGAATGTTTATAAACGTTCATAAAATAGCTGCATTAAGAGTGATGCAGACCAGGATTTCCTTCTGTATCCCCTGTGTACCTGGATTCATTGTGGGTGCCTTATGTGTACCTGGATTTGCTTATCTGTGTCTCTTGTGTACCTGCATTATGTATGTGTGCCTAGGATTCTCTCTGGGTTCATCATGTGTATCTGGATTCAGAGTGCGCGATTCTTTAGTACTTGAAGTTTGTTTGGCATTCATGTGTGCATTTTACATGTACTTAAAAGACAATCTTTGGAAGATTTGTGAGATGCACAGAGCAAGTCCTGTGCATCTGATAATACCTGTCATAGTGTGCATCTCACATGTACTTGGAGTCCGTCTCTGGTGTTTTTCTCATGTGTGCATGTGGTCAGACTGTGTTTGATGTGTACATGGAGTCAGCATGTGCATCTCATGTGTATCTGGAATCAGAATGTACATCTCATATGTACTTAGTCAGGATGTGCATCTCATATGTACCTGGAATCAGAATGTACATCTCATATGTACTTAGTAAGGATGTGCATCTCATGTGTACCTGGAGTCAGAATGTAAATGTCCTCTGTGAACCTTTAATTAAATTTGGCAATTTGAAGTCAGAATGTAAATCTCATTTGCGTACGTGGAATCAGAATGTAAGTTCATGTCATGTGTACCTGGAGCCAGAATGTGCTGCTCATATGTGTACCTGGGCTTCTCATGCTTGCCACAATTGTGTGACTAACCTTTATCTCTGTGTGCAGGTTCCTCCATTGTGCGGTTACATTGTGGAACAGCTTCCAGTCCATCTCAGGAAATCCACAACTTGCACTGATACACCAGAGGGGATGTCTTTGTGAACTAAGGCACATGCACTAAGCAATTACTCATAATCCAAAGTCACATGCTGTTATTTATGTACCAAGCCAGCCAATAAAATCTTTTATTTGCATTTTGTTTTGGCTTTAATTGAATGCACCGAGATTTATAGATTAGAAGCTATATTTATCATGTTAGATATTATTGGAGATCTGTCATAAAATATTCCTGACCTTCATCTGGAAATGTGAGATGCCTGGCAGTCGGTGGCTTTAATACTTTCCTGGTCACTGACCAGGATAAACATGCAGATATCAAAGTTCCTGTCCCGATTCTTGTCCCAAAAAGGAGAACTATGGGGTCAGGGCTTTTCCTCATAGTTCTCCTTAGGGTAACGGGAGAACACAAACTAGCCTCCTCCCGTCACCCAAAGCTCAGTATACCGCGAGCTACAGCTTACGGTATACTGAGACCGCCGCAGCCGGGACGGATCCCGACATTACTGTCTGGATGCAGCCAGCTGTACCCGCCCCCTCCCCCGTCCGTTCCGCCAGTCAGCGCTGGAGGATCGGACGCTGCAGGGGGGAATTCCTGCAGGGAGCCGTGAGTGACGGTCACGTCTCTCTGCAGGGACAGGATCGAGAAGTGAGCAAGCAACGGTATGTTTTTGCTCACTTCCCGATCTATTGAGCCGACGTGTGACAGTTTCATTGTCACACGTAGTTCAAACTCACCTCACCTTTTCACTCACCTCATAGTTCTCCTTTAAGCACTTGCCGTCCGCCCGTTGTAAAAAAACGGACGGACGGCGCTGCAGCATTGGTGGGTTGCCGTCTCCAGACGACATTTTTTTTTCTGCTCGCGCGCGCCCCCTAGCGGGCACGCACGGGCAGAAAAGACCCGACCAATGCACACACCCGTTACCGGGTGTTTCACATATAGACGATCAGCGGTTCCATAGCCGCTGAATAAATACCACCAAAAGAAAGCTCCATCTGTCCCCAAAAAAGGGTATAAAATTCATTTCAGTACAGCGCTGCATGACGGAATAAATGTCAGTTAAAGTACCGCAGCGCTGAATACTGAAAAATGGCCTGGATGGGAAGGGGGTTTAACACCGCGGATGTCAACTTGTTAAAGCAAGAGGGCCGATATAACAGTCAGGCAACTAGCATTTCCAAAAGGAGTAGTCGGAAATGGGAACCCTTCAAATGTTTGTCTGTACCTATACAGTTGTCAGGCTGTTGTACTGGCTGCAGAACATTGGCTCCCTGGTACCTGGAGACAGTGGTGTAAAGGTTATTATTTCAGTAGTGGTGTTATGTTTGGCATTGACCGCACTAGCTAGCGTTCCACCTACCTTCAAATCTCAGTGTGCAGCAGAACCGACATCACTTCTGGCTTCAAAACCAAAATCATGTCCTCAATTCGATCACACAGGTGCCAGACTGTACTGCCCCCTGAAAAGCAATCAAGAGTACCACTTTTTCAGAGGGCGCTGGAGCAGTAGCTGCCCAGCGACACTGCAGGAAAACAGCAGATCAACCCCCTATATTTTCTGCCCTCTTGTCATCTGTGTGGAGCCCTTGAACTCCAGCAGTGTGAATGTAATGTGACACAAAATATCGGGCCGTCTTATATATGACATGCTAGAATTTTCTTATTTCACTCGAGCTTTATACAGCTCATATACTGACAATAAAAGTCCTGTGCACAAACTAGCCACATTGAACGCTCACAGTGACCCATGGACCTTCCCCTGAGCTCTGACAAGTTGTACAGATGTTCTATTAGCTACACTTAGGATAAAACAGCAGTCATAAAAGTTAATCATTACAATAAAAATAATTTCCTTATACTATGAAAAGTGTCAAAAAAAATCAGGTCATACTCTTCCGAGCAAGATGACAGTTTATCTAAATTACAGAATGCTTTGGCCTGTTAAATATATGCCTGTTATGTGTCCTTGCTGTTTAATAATGTTCTTGGACTGACCCCAGTGCTAGCCCAGGACAGAACAGAAATCCATTGTGTGTTAGATGTGCACAGGCTGCAATGGATTTAGCGGTTTCATGCTAGCTACACTTTCATCAAGTTCCTGTGGTTTTTGTTTTTTTTAATGTTTTTTATGCGTGATCTTGGTATCATGTTCTTCAGCCAGCACCCAACTGTTAAGTGCTTAGGTGGCTGTAGAGCCATCTGACCACTTGTATGGTGCTGAAGTATGTGCTGCTGCCACTGCCGGCTATCTCAGGCTCCGCTGTCCCCCATCCGAACCTGGAAGCAGCTCGGTGCTGTGCGAAGCTGGTTTGGCGGGAGATCTAGACATCTTGACTGTCTGATCCCCTTTGCATCAACTGAAACCAGAAGCGACGTGTATTTTGTCACTTCCAGTTTGAGGCTGCTGTTACTGGAGTATAAGCTGGCAGCGCTCGTTAGCAGGAAAGGGTGCACGGTACCTCTGTCCCGCTCAGCTCATTGATATCACTGGTTGCCAGGAGCTGGGCATCCCGCTCAGCTCCTGGCAGCCAGCGACATCAGTGAACTCAGTGGGACACCAGGCAGCGCATCCCAGGTTGCCAAGAGCTCCTAACAACCTGGGATGCTCTGCCTAGAAAGGTGTGTGTGCCTTCTGCTCCCCCCTTCCTCCACCTTGACCCAATAAGATGTTGCCTCACTATAGGAATAGCCTTGTGTCCTCCTCGTTCAAAGGAATTGTTTTTGATCTAAACTGGGTTTGCCATTAAATAAGACTGCTAATGTATTTAGACTTAACATGCCCTCACCAAATTTTTACATTTGCACAACCAGGTTGGTGACCTGAATGTTCTCTACTGGAATCATGAAATACAAGTAGGTCACTACCCTTTCCAACCTGTGATTGCACAGTGAAGAAGCAGCAGCAGACTGATGAGCTCATTATTCTACTCCCTCAGCACTTTGCTTCTTTTAGTATATTCCTCTGCATTGGCTTTTGGTTGTACTGAAGATTCAAAGGCTGATGCCACTGGAGTACTCAGAGCTGACGTAAAAATACATTTCATGTTTTTTATATGAATCCATAATTGCCTTAATTCCTGTTTTCTTTTATATAGTGTACATCTATCAATCAGATCTACACCTGAATCCCTGCCTTACTTTTAGTCTTGCACATGTGTACAGGTTTCTTTCCTGTACTAAAATTGATTACTCTGATTTCACTGCTGAGCTTCTCAGTGTGCATTAGAAACTGCAGCAAGTCGGATAGAGCCCGCCTCCTTTTCTGGTTAGAAGACGTCCAGCATCAACTAGCTCTTTTGTTTTCAGCCTGGCCCACTGCTATCATTCATTGGATTTCACTTCTTTTACTTTTAGGGGCTTAACATCACATGTGGGCAATTCCTAAGGCAGTCTGTATGCAAATTCAGCCTGCCTAGGAATGCCCACTCCTCCAGATTGACATCCACCCATCAAGGAATTTTGATATTTGATAACTCCTCCCAGGAGCCAGCCCACTGCTTGTATCAGGACTGGGGGCTTTTGGGAGGAGTACTGAGACAGAGTGTTGTAATGTTTTCAGGAAGTTATGTAAAGCTTACTGCTGCTCCTCCCACCAGCTACGATCTACCTGCATGAAGCACACAGACCAGTGAACACATCTCTGGGTCTAAAGGAAAAGTGGGGGGTGGCTAGGGAAGGCAAAAAAATAAGTAGATTACACTTCAGCTCTAAGACAAGCTGGACCAGTGCCGGAATTCCCACTTTTTTGTAGTTTCTTAAAGATCAAGTTTTCCAGACTGTTATTAACTAAATCTATAACTGTATATTGTATTTAAAATAAGTAAAAAAAAGAACAGGAAGGGTGGTTTTCAGATTTGTTATTTAAGAGAAATGTTTTCATACGTCAGTCCTGGCAGTAATAAGTAAACAAGAACCAGATGTTGGGAACATGTACTTCTAAGTGTGCAGGTGGTGTCCGGTTCCTCCCTATATTAACGAAGTCGATCTTGGGAAATGTTATGTTTGCACAAGTGTTAAATGAGATCATTCATAAGAGTTCATGTGCAGGTTGAAGGGTACCATGACAAACACTAAACGTGAGCTTTTTAGCAATATTGTCAGTCTGTGACTAAAATAAACTCTAGAGGTGGCACTTTAACAGGTAGGGGCATGTTTGGTTAGTCATAGCATTTTCATCTTCAGTGACGTGAAGGAAATGAGATGTGTCATCATGAGACAAACTTTCAGAATCTGGAACATCCAAGAGGAGAACTGCCGCTCCTAAATCCAGAGTCTGTCTAGGTCTGTGGGTACCGGTGCCAGCCACATGGAGCACATCCCTGCTCACCATGAGTCAAAGGCAAAGAGCAGCCAATGGCATCAGAATGAGTAAAACTTTATTGTTCTGAACATAGAATACAGAAACCTACTTTGCTCTGACACATTTCACCCAAACAGGGCTTAGTTGTAGAGGTCATAAGATTGAGTCGAATATAGTATTTTTAAAGTACATAAAAGTTGGGACGCTGTGTAAAATCTATATAAAAACAATGCAATGACTTGCAAACTTCATAAACCTATATTTTTTTCACGATAGAAAACAGAAAAGGTATCAAATGTTTCAACTGAGAAAATGGACCATTTAAAGAAAAAAATAAGGTCATTTTGAAATGGATGGCAATAACATGTCTCAAAAAAGTTGGGACAGGACCATGTTTACCACGGTGTAGCATCCCCCACTTCCTATAACAACACTTGTGACGAACTAGGAGCACCGAGAGAGAGTACACAGAGGCAAATCACACGGAACCCGGCGTGCGGGGTGTTTGTTAAGGAATTCCAATACTCAGCAAGGGGAACATGCTATAGGTGGGGTACAGATAGAGCGACTCAACACATAATATGGGGTAGCACCGATGAAGTCCAGGGTCACATGGCACTCCAGGCAAAACAAGGGGTCAGCAGCAAGAGCGCTGGGCCACAGCTCACAGGCAACAATTCATAGGGCAGCAGTTCATAGAGCAGTCATGGGCACAGCAAGGAACAGAAGACAAAGATTCTGTAACTTACACTGTAGTCAGCTAGTTGGGCTGAATTGGTGGAGGGAGATCCAGGCCGGGTGATCCACAGAGTGCGGCTTGCAAGGTCAGGTAC